ACATACCTGACACTATGCGTCTAAAAAAGCAGTGCTCACAGAACCTAGCGAAGGACTCCTTCGTGGAACCTTGCTTGGGGATGGAAAGGGATCTATGTAACTCGGACGGCCCCCAGGTGCTTGCTCTTGGATAGTACAGTGATACCGGCTTGAACCTGACCCCACACTTGAAGGCACACCTGAGTGCTTTCCACTGAGAGGGGACTTGGGCTGGGTGTGCAGGCAGCTGAGTGGGAAAAAACAAACAGCAGACACTGGTGGGCGCCCTCCAATCCAAATTTGATACTACCTACCTGGTGACAGCATCAGATCCCCCAAGCTGAGGGCTCAGTCCCCAAGACTGCTCCCACTTCAGATGCCAGTCACGAGCCCCAGGTTGTTTCACCTGTGCTTCTGACCACCTGGCTATAAATCGGGGTTCCCACAACCCCTTCTTGGGTTTGATTAATTCACTTGATCCTTGGATGGGAGAATTCAGAGCAGCTCAAAGAACTCAGGATACACTAACATTTGCCAGTTTCTCATAAAGGATATTACAAAGGATACAGATGAAGAGATGCATAGGCTGAGGTGTGCAGGAGGGGGCTGGGCGCCCTCCAGGAACCCCCACCTGTTCGGCTTTCCGGAAGCTCTCCAGGCCCTGTGCTCTTGGGTTTTTTCGGAAGCTTCATTACATAAGGCATGATTAAAATATGGACAACCATGCAGAAATGTGACTGGACAAAAAGGGTCTGATCTAACACTAACACACTGGGTGGGGAAACCCAGCAAGGCCTGTTTGTGCAGATTCTTCTCGGCCTTTCTGTGCAGCATTCCTTCCTCCTGGCCATGGGGCAGGACCCTTCCCAAAATGGGAGTCTTATGACCTACAATCAGATAAGGTAGGTCAGAGATTTCTTGATGGCCAGCTCTAAGACAGAAAGGCAGGGCAAGGTTAGAGTCCTGCCTCGGGGAGCCAGGAACCGTGGACGAAAACCAACTTGCACGCGCGTGTGTGTGTGTGTATACGTATACACACACACACACACACACACACACGTATATATAGAATAACATCCGGCAGCTCCCGCTGACGTGGTTCTGCTGACGGCTGCCTCAGTGACCACAACCTGCCTCTCTGTCTGTGTTCCATCAACAGGTGTGGAACTCTGTCATTTCCATAAAAAGAAATCACTCGCACAAAGGCCTTTGTGTACGTAGCAGACTTTACTGAAGATTTGGAGAGATGAAGGGGGTTTACATAGCAAACATACAAAAAACTTGAAGTTGAATATTAGACATCCATGATCTTAAAAAGACCTTTAGCCATTTGCACACCCGGGGCTCCAGCCTTCCGCAAAGGTGCTTGACCACCTCTCCCTGACCTTTCTCAGGAAGTAAAACCAAAGTCAAATTTCCAACAGTTTCTTACTTAGAATGGTTTAGCCCTCCATTTGCTCTGCCCTCCTTTCTAGACCTTTCCCTGGGGCCTCCTTCTCCCTCTAATGGGCCACAAAGTTATGTTTACAATTACGAACACTTCCACCCCCGCTGCTGATACCAGGGTGAGGGGAAGTCTAGAGCCAGGCCTGGGGCTGACAGTTCTCGCTAAACCAAGAGACCGAGGCCTCGGCCTTGCGCTGGGGATGCTACCGTAGACCTTTCGTCCTCTCTCGCAGAGTGAGCGTGAGTGCACACGTGTGCATGTCAGAGGCAGGAAGCAGGGGGTCAGGGGACGTCTGTACCGCGTCCTCTGTGTGCTCACCGTGAGCCACGGGGTGCTGCTGTCACCTCTCCTCCCCAATGTAACCCGAGGCCACAGCCATCTCACTCCACTTCACAAACGAGGTTACAAAGGATCCAGACGGCTAAGTCCTTGGCATTTTTCAGTCCCAGATTGGCCTGGCTTGAGTTCCAGTTCCTAAGAACCACCACACAGATCTGACTCTTTGGGGAAAAGCTTCTCACTTGCATTCTTAAGCTAATATAACAGATTATGTAAGAAGAGGTCAAATACAGTCCCCACTGGGTATAACTGCCCCTGAGGTGAAATCCAGCACATTACTCCTCCTCGGTGCCAATGGCATGGCCCAGGCGAGCAACGCTGGACAGCAGGGCCCCCTCCCCCACGGCCTCTCTGCCTCCCACCTCCAGCTCCCCCATGGCCCTGCCCGCTGCCCTCTGAATCCCCCAGGCCAGGGGAGGGAGCAGGTGCTTGGACCAAGCACACACAGGGGACGGGGGCCCAGGCAAGGCCATGCCATGGCAGCACCTTGCTCCTCACCCCACTGGCCTCAGTCCCAAAAGGGTAGAGCCACGTCCACACACACACACACACACACACACACACACACACATGCACATACATGCCCCAAACTCCTTCTGTGAGTTTCTCTCTTGTTAGGAAGATCATCCTGCTGTATAAACAGTGGTGATTAACTGCTTAGTCACCATCAGGCCCCACGAGACAGATGGTCTGTTTCCCCATCCGCATCTCCATCTGGACAATGCTGTCTGCTAACTCCAAATCATGTCAGGAAAGCGGACAGGCTCAGGGACCTTCCCTCACCTCACACCCCAAATGACATGGACCCCACTACCTTGTGCACGTTCCCTCATTCATCAGATGCTGCCAAGCCCAACAGAACCAGGAAACCTGCAGTTTCCACCCATAGCAGCTGAATCTAGTAGGAAAGACAGACTCAGAAGCCCACAATTACACAGGCTTCTCTGCAGTCCATGGCAGCTCCAGGGTTGTTTTCTAAAAATCGAGTGAAAAAGACTCCCTTGCTTAGCACACTTCCGGAACGTCCCATCACACTGAGTCCACAGCCTTCACCAAGACAGGGAGGGCTGGAGGACAAAGACTGGGTCGCCTGGGGGCAGCATGCAGCCCGCCCACAGCGCACTCTCTCTGTACCTGGGGCACATCTGTCACCTTCCTACCTCCAGGACCCACCATTCCCTCACCCTCCCAGGGCTGGCTCTTGCCCTTCCGTTATCAGATCAAATGCCACCAAGGCCTCCCCAAGCCTTGGCCTTGACACCTGCTCAGTAGCTTCTCCGCACCCCCACAGCGGGCATCTGTCCTGTCCGTCTGCTTCCTCTCTTTCTTCCTCAATAAAGCCTAAGCTTCCTGAAGACCTCGTCTGCCTCTCTCACTGACGCTTTCCCAGAGCCTAGCACAAAGCAAAAGTTAAATAAACACTTGCTAAAAGATCCACAGTGCTGGTGCTGCCAGCCAAGCTGGACAGACAGGCCTCATGAGCTTCCCTTTTCCAAAGGGCCCCCAGGGGACAGGGGACAGGGCAGGGCTGCAATGGCAACTTATACAAACACAAACTCCCACGTGTCCAAGGGGGTACCTGCTGCCCGCTCAGGACTTGGCACACCCTAGGCCCCATCTTTTGATGGGAACTGGGCCTCCACACACGGTGCAGCTATGCACCTGGGCATGAGGCCTGGCAGAGGTCCTGATACCCACAGGGGTCTGGTTAAAACTTCTCTTTGGCAAAGACAACGAGTGCTGTGCCCTGGAGGAGGGGCACACGGGGTTGTTCACATCTGGCCAGCTCTCCTCCCTTCTGCTTGTCTATATACTGCCCATCCCTCAAGTGCTACCTCTTCCCTGAACCCTCCACAACCTGATGTCTCCCACATCTGAATGCCAGTCGCTTTGAGGAACAGCCCACCCCACTGACGCCTTAGTTAGACTGCAAGCTCCTATTGTTAATAACAATGTATGTTTATTGAACATATTTATGTGCTCAGCACTATGCTAGGCACTGTACATACATGAGGTAGGTAATTATTATTATACCCATTTTACAGATGGGGAAACTGAGGCACAGTGAAATTAAGTAACTTGCCCTAAGGTCACACAGCTAGTCAGTAACTGGTCTGACTCCAGAGTCCTGGCTCCTAACCACCACTTCGTAACACCTCCTAGATGCTGTCTGGTTCATTCTGTATTTCCATGTCATCCCCCTGAGTGCCGGGCGCACAGTCAACACCTGTGGGCTGAACCTTCACTCCCGTTGGCTCAGGCTACCGGAACGGTGGGCCTAACAGGGATAACGACACCAAACAGCCACTAGAGGGCGGCAAAGAGCCAGCCCCCGGCGTCGCTGAGGAAGGGGAGGGATGACTCGTTACTAAACATCACTGAGAGCAGCTTGCACCCGGCAGCTTGCAGACGTGACCTCTCCTGCTCGCCAACGTCTTCTAAGGTAGGTGCTACTGCCTCCCCACTGTACAGAGAGGAAAGGGAACAGAGGTTTGGACAAGTTGAGAAATTTGTCCAAGGTCAGGCAGCTTGGAATACGAGGATGGAAGCCAGGACTGCCTAAACTCAAAGCCCACGCCCATGCTCAGGAGAAATAAGCCAGGAAATCCCTCCTCCACCCCCAGGGAGCACAGAAGCCCCCGCTTTGGGGAGGGAGTCAGGCGGCCTGGGGCTGGCTCCGAGGGGGTCTGGGCAGAGAAGGAGTTTGAGTCAAGACTCAGAACACCAGACCTGGCAGGTCTCAGAGGCCCCTGCCCAGCCTCCCCATCCACACTCCTCAGCCAGGCTGCAGCGCCTCACCTGCTGCCCTCCTTGTCTGGGCTCCCCTGACGTGGAACCAGTCCCCAACCATGGTCATGAAGGAAGATGGCCACGGAATCCATGTCCACTGGAGATGGATGAAAACTATCTAAGGAGCTCTGACCGTGTCCCCTTCCAACAATTCTATCACTTCCACCTAAAATGGTGGACGGGGACCTCTCTGAGCTAGCTGTCCTGGAGGAGTGGCTGCAGGGGTGGTCAGGGAGTGTAGACGCAGCCATACAGGAGTGGTGATGGCAGCAGAGGGAACGTCACATCTCGGGCTCCAGTGTCTGGCAATGTTCCCGGCTGAGTCTGCTGGGGCGCTGGCTTTAGAACTGCCCGGGGTGCATTCTCAGCCCTGCTTCCAGCCTGCCTCCCAGACTGCCCCCTTCTCCCCCAGTCCCTCCCGAGGCTTGTACAGCCAGACCAGGTCCTCTGCAAATATACAACATCTTGGGTTTATTAGGGGTTGGGCACTGCAGGTTCAGGCACAGTTTGTTCCTGGGTAGGAAGAGCCATGACTGCTCCTCTCAGCTCTCTTGGCACTTCAGGGGGCTGCCCCTGCAGGTCCCCTTCCCATGTCCCCCCTCCCTGCTCCCCAAGTCTCTCATTCTTTCACCAGCCGGTAGATGTGGTGCTGCGCCCCGTGCTCACTGGCTGACACCTCAAAGACATATGCAATGCACAGCAAGGTCTCCTGCGTGTCTCTGTTGGTGACCACCTGCAGGTGAGAAAGGGACGCGGGCTCAGGCCCCAGCTGAGGGCCCGCCACGGGTGCCGTCCCCCTGTGGATTCCAGCCCCACCCCGGCAGTGCCGCCCACGCACCTGCAGGATGGTGAAGTTCTCCAGCACGCTGTTCATCATGTACTTCTCGGGCAGGTGCTTCAGCTTGTGGATGAAGTTGATCATGTACTCACAGAGCGGGGACCGGTGGATGCGGTAGGAGTAGTGACCATTCTCGTAGCGGGCATACTCTGTCTGCAGGACCCAGGGGACAGCAGGCCTTAGAAACCCTTTACCTCCAGCCCAGGCCCAGCTTCACAGGGAAGCGCCATGACCCAGTTAAATAGGAAGACGAGGCAGGAGCCTGAAGGCCCTTGAGAGCAGAGCCTCCCTCTTGGGGTGACGGTCACAAAACAAGGCCCCCCTACTCCATCGGTGACAGGCAGAAGCCGGGTATCGGAGGAGGGGAGGTTAAGGAGCACAGGAACAGCACCAGATGGGGCGGGGAGTGTGCCTCTCAACCCTGGCTGCACACGGGGGCCCCTGTGGTGATGGAACCGTCACGTTCCCGACTCTGGTGGTAAGCACAAGTCTGCACACACACACACACACACACACACACGTGTGCATGCACACACCCAAGTGCATGTAAAACTGGTGAAATCTGAACCAGACTGGCGGACTGTATCCACGTCAATTTCCTGGCTGCCAATACCGTACTCCAGTCACACAGGACGTTGCCAGTGCGGGAGCTCAGGAAGGGTAGGCGGCATCATGACTGCGTGCAGATCCAGTCATCTCAAAAATTAAAGTTTAATTAAAAATAAATAACTTGGGATGGGGTGGGAGAGGGAGGTGGAAAAAATTAGCTAGTTAAATAAATAGCCAGCTTAAGGAGCTTTTTCAAAACGGCTATTGCCCAGATTCCACCATAGAGACTGAGGAAACTTTCATCAGTGGGGTTCAGGTATTGGTGCGTTTCAAAAGCCCCCGAGTGACTCTAAGGTGCAGCCAGGGCTGAGAAGCCCTGGGATGAAGGAATGTATCTTCCCTAGTAGTAGCTTGGCATCTGGGTATATGTGACAGGAGGTAAGTTATCAATAACCGATAGACTGGAAGAGCAAGACTTCATTGATACAGACAAATTTGGGGGAAGAGGTGAGGACAGGGATGAAGACCAGCCTGAATGCATGAAGAGGTCACAGGGTCCCAGACTCGCAGAGGCCGCAGGGTTTGGGGTGAAAGGCCTTAATTTAGTCCCACCTCCTTCTTGCTCTCAGAACATGGTGGGACCAGAATATCAGAGCACTACAGGAGCCTGCGTCAGCAGACAGCGAGGATCACTCGTCACTTGTTTAGAGATAAATGGAGAGGCTGGGACTCAAGCCCAGGCTTGTCTGAACTTGTGTTCCTACCACCACCTTGCCCCATCCCTGGCCAGAAGCTTAAGAGAGAGGCAGAGACCCCTGCCTAAAAGGCAGGCCTGAGTTTTCTGTAACTTCCACTGGTGCAGTCTCCAGGCAGCCCACGAAGAGAAAAGCAGGGACATGAGCAATTTGGGGCATTTGTAGGGTAAAAAGAGAGCCAGGACCAAAATGCTGGAGCCCTGCTGCAGCCCTGCCTCTGCCTTGGTGGCTATGTGACCTGCGGAAGGCTTTCCCCTCTCTGTGCCTCAACCATGAAACCAAAAGGCTGGACCAGGTAGACAATCCCCAGGCCCTGCGGGCTGTGGCTCTGCTGTGGGAGAGGACGCGGGGACGCCTGCAAGGATGTGCTTGGAAGGTGCAGTGCCAGCCCAGGAGGTTGAGCCACAGCTCTGGTGAGCTGGCTAGGGTGGTAGTGTGGAGGGGACGAAGTGAGGCACTGATGGCATAAAGGGCAGGCACCAAGGAGCTTGTGGGATGCCCCATAACTGTAGGGCACTCTTCCTGAAAGCAGACGGAAGCTGCAGCAGCCACCTCTGGCAGGGCCTTGGCAAGCAAGCCTATCCCCAGGGGAGCTCTAGCAAAGGAGACTGCACAGGCCCCTGCCATCTGCCCTCTCCCACCAGGGTGGCCTCCTACCTCTACTTTCTCCACCACCTGCTTGCCGAAAGAGCAGACTTTTGTGGAGCAGGTGATTATCATGTTCTCAGGACTCTCATACTGGCTGGAGACACCATAGAAGGAGGTGCCCTCGTCCTCGATGTTGGTGTTGAGGTCTGCCTGCAGGGAGACACGGGGAAGCCGAGGAGGCGTCAGACACGTCTGCAGGGCCCTGCCGGAGGGATGGAGTTGAGGAGACCTCTGGGGTCACAGTCCGGGAAGACATCAGGAGGGCTTATAAAGAACTTGGACAGCAGGATGTTGGAAAGCTTCCACCGTTCTCCACATCCAGGCTGGGTACAAAATCAGGTTGTGTTGCCTAAACAAGGGAAAAAGAGAACACTGGGACCTGTAAAAGTTTCAAGCCACTGCCACCTGCTCAGATACCAACACACTTCGCAGGCGGGGTCCCCAATTTTGTCTTTAGGACTCCAAGTTTCATAGTCTAAGTCTTTGTTCTTGTTAAACTGCAAATACTTATATCTATATTGATCATTTCTACTTTAGCATGAATGAATCTATTAGAACCTTTCCAGGGTCAATTTTGACTGTGAGGAAATCATGAGAACAGAAAGCCAGAACAAGAGACCGGCAGAGAGGTGTCGGGGGTGCTGGGGACTCTTCTATGTCCCATCCGCTGGTCTAGCTGGCCACCAGACCCTACCAATGCTCTTTCAGAAATGGCCCTGGGGGCTGGCCTCCCGCCCCTGTCCGCAGCATGGCTGAGTCCAGTCCCTGGATGGTCTCCCATCCTGTGTCAGCCTCCAGAACAATCTACCCAGCCCCAGTCTTCCCTCCTTTTGGCTCATTCACTTAACTGCCCTGAGAGTTCTCTTCAAAAGACAAGTCAATGGCTCAAACCACATTGAGCCCCCTTTATGTGCAGGGGTGTGGGAATCCTATTTTTTTGTTATTATTAAGGAAACCACTTCTATGCCTGTTAACAGTGACGAGTTCTGGAGGTAGCTACATCCCACTCGGGGTTTTCTGGTTACAATCCATCTTCTCTCAACCTCAACTGAAAACCCAGCCTCATGGGCCTCAAACGCAAAGCCAACTCTGTAGGAGGCTTTTTTGGACGAGAAGACTACGTTGTCTTCCCAGGAGACAAACCCTCCACTTTGATTTACAAGGCAGATAGCAGCCCCAAACCATGGACAGGTTGGGGCCTGCGCAGGCCGCAGTCCTTTTTGCCACAGGGATGTGGGTCTCAGCTCCAGCCCGGCCCCTCTGCCAGCTGCTCACCACGCCCCAGACACACGCTTCCTTCCCTACCGAGAGCAGGGCCAGGAGGGCTTCCTGCTGGGTGCTGGGCTGACCTGGAATTTTTTTTTTTTTCCTTTTTGTCTTTTTTCGTGACCGGCAACAGATCGCAACCCTCAGTGTCGCGCCTGTACCGGACCGGGACCGGCCACGGGATCGCAACCCTCGGTGTTGCTCCCACCCCTCGCTCAGCCAGTGAGCGGCCGGTCTGTATGTGGGATCCGAACCCTCGGCGGGAGCGCCACCGCGCTTCCCAAGCGGCGCACTGTAGCAGTGCACCACCGGGCCGGCCCTGACCTGGAATTTATGTGCAACCGTTCCCTCAGAAAAGGTGGAGTTCACCATAAATATACACAGTTATTGTGGGTTAATTAAGAAAAAATAAATTTAAAAAAAATTTCAGAGACAAGTAGATTAGAGGTTACCATCAATGGCGGGGGTGGGGGGACTGAGAAGTTAGTGCTTAACAGGTATAGAGTCTATGTTTAGGACAATGCTGAAGTTTGAGAAATAGATACAGGTAGTGATTACACAGCCTTGTGATTAATTCCATGCAAATTCATGTTTAAAAATGTTTAAAATTGGGCCGGCCCGGTGGTGCACTGGAGAGTGCGCCGCTCGGGAGCATGGCGGCACTCCCGCCGAGGGTTCGAATCCCATGTGGAGACCGGTTCCCGCTCACTGGTTGAGCGTGGTGCGGGTGCAATACTGAGGGTTGCGATCCCATTGCCGGTCCCCGGTACGGGTGCGACACTGAGGGTTGTGATCCCGTTACCAGTCAGTAAAAAAGACAAAAAGGAAAAAAAAAATGTTTAAAATTGGGCCGGCCCGCGACACTGAGGGTTGTGATCCCGTTACCAGTCAGTAAAAAAGACAAAAAGGAAAAAAAAAATGTTTAAAATGGAAATTCTTATGTTGTATATGTTTTACCACAATAAAGTTTTTTTAATTAAAAAATAATAAGCTAAGTTAAATTTAAAAAAAGAAAAGGTGGAGGAAGACTGCCGACTTCACACACAAAGCCTCTGCCTCAGTGTTATAAGTGGGGCTCCCCAGCTATAGGCCGAGCCCACGGCCACGTGGCTGACAAGTGACAGACCCCAGGTCGGTGGGCTCCAACTCCACAGCTAGCCCCGGCCCAGGAGGGTGCCATAGCAGAAGGAGGAAGGCGCTGGATGAGACAGCTCAGTGGCTTGGGGACTCGGAGGCAGGAACTGTATTTCTGAAGCTCTAGGCCAATTAGAGGTCTTCATCCCTGGAACTTGGGTCCCCATCAAATCATCCTACCTGAGCCAGGGGTGCTAACAGAGCAAAGCAAGACTCAGAAGAAAAGTGCAGACATACTACGAAAGGCTCATTCTTAGGGCAAAGCCTCTCCTCCACCCACGTGAGCCCGAAATCACCACCATGCCTGACCCAGAGTGCAGCCCTGTGAACGCAGCAGGAGCTGCAGACCTTGCTCAAGTCTCCAACGCCGAGGATGCTCCGCACAAAGGTAAGGGATCCCCAGAACCCCTGAGAGGTCCTGGCACATTCCAGACCCAGGCAGTCCTACTACTGGCCGCAAGGGGCGCCCGAGCACCGCTCTTCTCTCCTTTGGAGAAAGGTTATCGGAGAGCGAGACCTTTGTCTAGACTGCCAGGGTGGCATTGATTGACCACACAGCAGGAAACAAGTGGACACAAAGAAATGCTGAGAAGGACCTGTATTTATTACTGTGGATGGCCACAGACATATGGGGTGAAAAAAGCAGTTATAGAACAGAATGAAGCTGTATTATGAAGAGAAAAGAGTGTTTTCGTGTTGAAATAGAACGCACGTGGTTCCGTGTGCTCTGCGCTGGCCTTCCTGAGGCCGTTAGGAAGAAAGAAAAAAGAATTACAGCTGCATTAGAGCCAACGTTCAGCCTCTGAAACAAACAGCAGTGTTTGCTGAACACCCTCCATTCCCACCCCCAGCTGGCCTCAGTTTCCCCCCTCTGACTCCATCGAGATTCTGTGAGGGAGGGCAGCAGGGTGGGGTGGGGCAAGGCGGCGGCACTGAGACCTGGCAGGGTGGGTCAGGTCTCTGCTGGGTGGAATTCACTGCAGCTGGGACTGGCTCAGGGTCTCCCAGTTAAACATAAGGTGGCCTGGGACCAGAACCCCGACTTTCTGTCTCCTACTCTAAGTCGCTGGCTCCCCTAGGAGACCAAGTTTGTCAGACTTCCTAAAAAGGGGCTGTGAGTGTATCCCCCACACAAACAATCCACCCCGTAGCACTTCATCTTGTCCTCAGTGCCTGGATCCTTCTCGTCACAACCCCACGCCTTCTCCCACAGCTACACCTCAGGCATTTCCTGTCCACCCTTGTACCTCCCACTCTAAGCAACTCCCCCAAACAAGGGTGCTTCTCAGCCTAAGAACGGACAAAGCTGGCCCCTTGCTTCCCTCCCTCCACCCTATTCATAGCTGTGCATGCGGGTGGGCAGCTCCCAGGCTGGGCCTGGAACAGGTGTGGGGGATCGGGTGACTGACAGACGAGCCAAGACGGCCACAGCCAGTGTGGGGGCCCAGGGGGGCTCAGATTCATTGTCATGTGCTGGTATGTGCCTGGGAGAAATGTCAGGGCCCAAAAAGGAACAGCAGGTCGGGTGGGAGGAAGGACTGGGGTACCCTGTTGCCTCCTGGGCTCAGCACAGGCCCTGCCCAGCATTTTCAGTGTGCAGACTGGTGTTAACGGCACCAGTGCCCAAGAGTCCCTTCTCCCCTGCCCCCAGGACAGAGGCACCCCTGCTGGTCTTGCAGCATTCTAGGGGAGTGGGGGGCTTGACTTCTCAGTCCCTTGCTCCAGGCCCCGCAGCCCTCAAGAGACAACACACGGCCTCAGCAACCTCAGTTCCTCCTGCACGCAGATGCCACGTCCAGGGGGAAATGTGTCCCAGCAGCCCGTGGGTCTAAGAATCACTACCACAATCCCGTCAGTAAGAACAGCAATTCTCAGTGGGAGTGGGGGCAAGGAGGCTGGACTGGAGACATCGAAGTCCTCCCCCCCACTCCAAGAGGGCTCTGATCACCTCTCCAGCAAGCACTTCAGGGTTGGAGCCGGGACCAACAGCAGCCAGGCAGGAAGAGAAAGGCAGGCTTTGGCAGAGGCAGTGCTGTTTCCTTGCCTGAGCGGTTTTCCTTCCTAACTGAGAGTGGCCACGTTCACAGCAGCTGATGGCAGGGGAGAGGCGGCCAGGCCAGGGAGCAGGAGAAGGGGACTTTCAGAGGCCTGCAAGGACCCCACGAGTGACCCGAAGTCTCACTGTTAGCAAACACAAATATCTATTTCCCCCATCATCCATTTGGCTTTCACTGGTGCCTCTGCCCTCCCTACACACTAGGAGCAGGGACCAGATGGCTGCCAAGGTGCCCTGGCCTCCACATGCCCTGTCTCTGATTTCGCCTGTCCTCACCCCACCTGGCCCCTGAGGCTCCAGCAAGGGCTGGGGTGGGGGCAGGGCAGAGCATCCCCTTCACCACCAGCTGACCACACACGCACACATCGGGGGTCCTTGGAGACATGGCCCTTTGCAGCCCTCAAGAACAAACTGCTGGCTTTTCAGAGAGAAACAGGCACAGAGAAGCCAACGTGTGCTCAGGACACAGCTCTCAAATGGCAGAACCGAGACTAGGGCCTCCATGTCCACCTGGGGCTGACAGCTGCCTGCCTCGCCCACCTCCACACACTAAAGACCTTACATGTAGCCCAGCATGCTCCCCTGTACAGTGGTTACTACCCCAGGACCCCGAGATCCGTGCTGGACTCTCCCACCCACAGCGTGAGCCCACGTCGGGCCCGTGAGCACAGGCTGTGTGCACAGCACATGCCGGTGCAACGTCCATGCGTGGCATCCGCCTAATCCCATTTCCTCAGCACCAGCCGTCCCCTCCTCCTCTTCTCCCATGAATCCCAACTCC